AGTGCACTACTTACAATGATCCGTGCACCATAGAAATTCATCCTTGTTAATCTACAATTTGTGGAAGGGCACCAGAGCTCCACCAAGTCTTACATCTCAGCAATGACCTACTCACTTGTGCGTACACACACTTCATTCACCCACTTCAAGTTTGACTTATTTGGCGAATTCTCTCTCCTTCCCACAAGCAGCCTTAAAGGCGCAGTATGATCAAGAAAATTTAAAATCTTGAGAGTTTTGCTTCCCTAAAGAGACCAAGAACTCACATTGCTGCAGTTTCTTCAATGTTCCCCAGAGGAGATTCCTAGCATGTATAGCAAGAAAAAAAATCAGATGAAGTTCTGGTCATAGTACAGAGAGACAGTGATTCTGTCAGTGATGGTTATAGTTTCGGAAGGGAATTAAAATGGCCACAGGTGTAAATGGATGCCTTTCATATCATAGACAGCAAAACCATCATTCCACTCTGCAGAACCTTGAAGCAATGTCAAAACAGCTAAGACACAAGCATGAAGGCCTCTTAGAGGAGAAAAATAGAGAAACAGGGGATGAAGACAGCTATAGTCATAGGAGATCTAATGCTATGGTGTACATAGAGTTGTCAGTTTCCACTGAAGTCAAGAGGTTCCAAAATTTTGTGAATGCTCACTTCATTAGAGAAAGCCTGCAGTACTAGAAATGTAGCTCTGAAACACCAGTTTTATCACTTTTTTCTTGCTTGCTAGTAGTTTGAGGAAGTGGGTATTATCTCAATTCTCTCAATTGATGGATTGGGTTTTCTGGCTAATGCAGTCAAAAAATACCTTTGCCAGCTTCTCTTCTCACATATAATCCTAGCTGCTCTGTAATGGTGCTTGATCAGAGCCTTGTGAGCATTGATTAGATATAGAACAACTAGAAATCGTCCAGTAATTTGGACTTTTCGTACTAGATAAAGTAGCTTCAAAATCAGCTATAATCAGGTTAGCTAACCCTGTCTTGATGCGTTTTTTTTATTTCAGCCATTTGATTTTTTTCCTCCTAGCAGCTTTAATCTTGCAACTTGTAGTAGCACTACAATTTATCTAAATACTCCTATTTTTATTCAACCTGGGTTTTGAAATGTGTACGGGCTACAAAGCTTCATTTGCAAGTGAATGTAAGTGATGGGGAAAACATTTTTGATGCTTTGAACCCAAATGCCTTACCAGATTCCATATGAGAACTGTATCCTGTCTTCCTATGTTGCTTTTATTTTAGAGAGATTCCGTTTCTCAATTGTCTGGTTAGGTCCTTGGATCATGGCAATCACTAGAATACATAAACTAGAAGATACATAGTACAGTGGTTCTCAAATTATAATCCATGGCCAGTGGCCTCTAAAATGATATATTTTAGTAACCATATTGTGAGATTTTGGGAGAGTAAGTGGGTACATGAAGCAATTTGTGTTGGGAAGTGGTCTGCAGGAGGCAAAAGTTTAAAAACTGATGAAATACAACAGTTTTGGCTTCCTCTCCTTTCCTAACTGCTGTGCATCATTAAACTGCTTTCCTCTATATGAATTCTGGCTGATTTTATGAAATTGCTGCATCCTTGAATGCCTCCATGTATACTCAAACAGCCATTCAATAAGAAGGCTGGTGTCACATATTTCCCTGTCCAGGAACAGAAAGGCAGTGAGCTGAATAGATTTCCATTCTAATATGAGCACCTACAAACTAAAGGGAAAAAAATACCATTCTCCCCAAACTGACTGCAAAGGGTGCAGTTGGAGCAATTGGAAAACCCCAGCAGAAAGATCCCGAGACCACAGATATTAGGCCTTGTCTACACTACAAATGGGTTGCTCATATACTAGGGTTGCCAATTGTCTAATCACACAAACCTAAACACTGTTGCCTTGTTCCCTGCCTGCCTGTTCCCCAGTGTCCCGCTCCACTTACTCCATCCCCTGTTTTTCCCCACCCTCAATCATTTTCACTGGGCTGGTGTCAGCCGATGGTCAGGGCAGTGCATGTGTGTGTGTTACCCCCGAGTCTTCAACTGCTGAGACACAAGGCCCCGTCGCAGTGGGCAGTCTAGGTGAGACTGACGGGCGCCCCAAGAAGTTTACAGGGAGAGCTTATTACACCTCAGATTTCAGCTGCTAGGATACAGATATCTTCGCAGCGGGCAGTCTCGGGAAGACTGAGAGATGCCCCAACGGATCTGTCACCTGGGAGTGACACGATCCAAAACGCCCAAGCTCTCCATATAGCTGTCCCTTATGACTGGCTGGAGTTCTTTTTAAAATTGTGCTTGGTTCTGTTACAGCAACTAAAGGGGTCAGGTCACAGCTTAAACAGTTACTATTTTATTGTTACAGGGTAAACTTAGCTGTTAAATGCTACTACTGTGTTACAGATAACACAGCCACTACAAAGGACAGGACAGAAATTACACTAATAAGTCACTTACAGGTACCATGAAACCCTTTTGGTTCTCTGAGCTCTTATTAAATGCATGCAAAATAGACACCTAGCAGGTATATATTCTCTCCCCTGTGTTCCAGACTTGGCGTGGCCAGCGTCTTTCTCTCAATCCCTCGGGAAGAAGTAGGGCGAGGTTGGGCGTCCCACAGACCTCGGGAGACAATCAATACCTGCCAGCAGGTATAGATGATTGGAGCTCAAATAGGGTGGGCTACTGAACCCCTCTTTATACCCCTTCGGTCATGTAGGCTTCTTCCTGGGCTCAAGTGGCCAATTAGGAAAAATGGCTTTGAATGCCAAGTTTCCCACGAAGGGTGCAAAGCATAATTCACACCTGGGAAAAGATAAAATCATGAGTGATATGGAGCAGAGAACTGTCCACGATAACTCCAAGATCTCTTTCCTGATTTGTCGTAACCAAACTAGCCCATTTACTGTCTGGTTTCTGTTTACGGTAGACTCAGGGACAGGCAGCACACCTGCGTTCCCAGGGCATCAAAGGCTGACTGCCTTTCCCTTGCTCTCTGGGGGGCAAGGGGAAACAAGATGAGGTTCATGTCTGACTACAGCTGGGTAAGGGAGCTGGGATGCAGGAAGGGATGTGGGCTTTGGGCTGGGGCCAAGAGGCTCAGTGTGGGAAGGGGTCTCTGGGCTGAGCCTGGGGCAGAGGTTATGGTGCAGAAGGGCATATAGGCTCTGAGAGGCGGCATGGGGTGCAGGGTCTGGAAGGGATTTGGGATTCATGAGGGGGCTCCGGGCTAGGGCAGAGGGCTGGAAATGGAAGGAGGTGCAGTTTCTGTTGCAGTTTCTGGGGGGGGAGGTTCAGGGTTGGGATAGGGGGTCAGGGTACAGGCACTTACCTCAGGTAGCTTCCAATTAGCAGCACAGCAGGGTGGCCCCATGCCTTTCCTGGACATTGCCAGCATGACCCTGCAGCCCCTGGGGGGGGGGGCACATGACTACAGGCATTGCCACTCCCTCCAGGCACCACCCCCACAACTCCCTTTGGCCACAGATCCCCATTCCTAGCCAAAGAGGATGTGGAGTTGGAGCAGGCTGCAAGGATGTGCTGGCTGCTCCCAGGAGTGGTGCGGAGCCAAGGCTGGCAGGAAGCCTGCCTTAGCCCCACAGTAGTGCCAGCCTTTTAGCAGCTGAAAATCAATCAGATGGACTTGATCTCCATGAGACAACTGTTACCAGGTTCTGGGAGATTCCCAGCAAAACGAGGAGGGTTGACAGCATTCTACCATACAATGGCAGGGCAGCCAAGAGGATAGGCCTGGTTTACACCTATAGTTTAGGTCCACCTATTTACATTACTCAGGCTGTGAAATAATGTATGCCTGTGCAATGTAGTTAGGTCAACCTAATTCCCCCTGTGGATGCAACTAGGTCAATGGAAGACTTTAAAGGGAGATTTACTACAGCAACAAACATCCCTCCCACTATAGTAGCGTCTACTCTGCATCGCTCCAACAGTGTAGTTACAGCAGTGCCGCTCTAGCAGAGACATACCTGTAGATGCAGCTTATGCTGACAGGTGGAGTATTTCCTGTCAATATAGTAACATCTCAATATCTCCTCTAATATCATTAGCCATGTTGACAGAAGCACTCTGTTCACATAGCTCCGCAATGGACAACATAGACTAGTGAGTAGGACACATGATTGGCCCTCCATTATGGGTGAACATAGAGTGGGGGGGGAGACAAGTCTCCAGCCCCACCCCTTCTGCCCAAGGCCCCATTCCCCACAGGAGCCAAGCCCTCCCAACCGCAGGCGCAAGCCTCCAGCCCTCCACAGGAGTCTCTCTGGCAATACAGCATAGGGAGGGTGGGCAATCTGCGGTCCCAGTCTCCCTGGCCTTGGAGCACAGGGAGAACACAGCACCCCCTAGCAACTCCAGCCTCAATGTGGCTGAAGCCCAGGAGCCCATGTGAAGCAGGGGGCATTTGGGGAGGAGGAGTTGTGTGGGCACGGCCATCCCTGGCAGTTTGGGAAGGTATTGCCCTCCCCCACCTCTTATACCCGCTGCCCATGCACTTCATCTCAGTAGGCTGCAAGATTGCTGTAACCAAGATGGTTGCCAGGGATAGGGTAGTTTTGTATTGCGTACCTGGAATTTGCAGGGTGTGCCAATGGAGCCATAGCAGCAATTAGATGCAGAGGGAGCGCACGGCTCTCACAGTCAATGTTGTGTGCAATCAGCATGCACCTCATTTCATATGTCCTTGCTTTACGTGTGTGTCACTGGTAGGAAGAAAAGTTCTGTGGCTGGAAACCAGCAGAAACTGGCAACCCTGCACATGGGAAAACAAAATGTCTCTCTGGCCACATCTAAAACCCCGATGGGCCACCAGTTGCCCACCACTGATGTAGCTGCATCTACACTGGGGCTTTGCCAGCAAACGGAGCTCAGGAGTAGGTTTTTTCATATCCCTGACCCATATAGCTACACTGACAAAACTTGGTAGTGGAAACTTGGCTTTAGAAATTGCTTTTTAAAGAACATGAATGGGTTGAGGGAAGTTGAAGAGCGAGGGGTACCTTGGGTCTGCTGGATCAGAACAGGTTAGGGGACTTGAGGCAGGAGCCAGAAGAAGAGACAGCAGAGGCAGGGAAGGAAACTGTGCATAGCATCTCTTGTGATCTGTCGAGGAATAAGAGAAAGATTGACTTAGAAATTCCTCTACAAAGAGACTGCTATTTGCTTCAACTTATATGCTCATGAAGGGATTGACCATAAACCATAGTACCTAGGAGGGTCGGTGTGTGCTTATGCTATTGGGAAACTTGTTAGAGTTCAGCACTGGACTTAGAACCTAGGGCAGCTGGATCTCAGGGTCCCCTTCATTAAAAGAGGAACCAGAGCATCTGTACCTAGGAAACATGCCTGAGAAAGCGGCTGAACCCAGCCCAAACCCAGGGTAGCTTACTAGCACATGGCTGCAGCATACAGGTCCCAACGTAGCTGCCTGGCAAACATCCATGAGGGGGAACTCAGCCAGGCCAGTGACAGAACTAACTAAAACTAAAACAGCAACTATGTAAACACACTGCTACAGTTTGCCAGTGGAGAGATAATCCCTTTATTAAAACTTGATAGGCTATTTCAGCTCCCACTGTTATCCTAATAACATTTATTAAGTATGGAGTGCTACGGACATGAGAGAAAATCCAATTTGGCCTGCACGCTGTTGGGTACCTTCTTTTATCTATTTATAAACAATTTTTTTTCTGTTATTCTGAAATCCCAGCAGAAGAGACTAGACAAAGGAATATATTAAGGGAATTCTAAAGAAGAAAGTTTCCTTTAAATCCAGAAAGGAGTAGCTTGTAGATGGACCAGCCCAACAGAATGTCAAAGTTCTAATGAAGCGTGCCTAATGAGCACAATTGTGATAATGTAATGAAATAATAAAATGTGCTGAATATGTGATCTCCATCTCCAGCACTGGGATCAATGAAGATTACCTAGTGTTACATGCACATTTTGGAGACAAATTAAATCTATAAAATCTTGCTTCAGTGCATTCACATCCAGGGCCTGCAAACTAAGGGTCTTTCTGTAAAAAGAGCATGACAGAGGAAGCCTGTGATAGCCATTCTTTATTCATGTTGCTCATTAATAAGTACTCGGTATCGATTGTTTAGCCTAAATGCAGATAATTTAAGAATTCCGTGATAACCACATACTGCACCTGCCACGTTTCCACATCAGAAACTATGGGATCCCCATTTGTCATCAGTCCTCACTTTTGTTCTGCCTTTCCCCAATTTACTCTAACCATGGGCAGCAGGTGAAAGCCCAGCTAGGGAAGGCAACCCCTGGCTCCAGCCCCACCTCTTGTGCCTGAGGCCCCACCCCTGGAGCCAACCTCTGCCCACCCCCAGCCAGATGCTTCCTGGCCACGTGAAGAGCCAGGCTGCCATGCCTACAGTCCCATCCCTAGCCTGGCCCTCCCCAGTGGCCAGGCTGCCAAGCCGAGCTGCAACGCTGCAGCCACAGACTTACGGTATGTCTACACTACAAAGTTAGTTCGAACTAACGGAGCGCTTAGTTCGAACTAGGTAATCCTCATTCTACGAAGACTAACGCCTAGTTCGAACTAGCTAGTTCGAATTAAGGGGTGTGTAGCCCCTTAATTCAAACTAGTGGGAGGCTAGCCCTCCCCAGGTTTCCCTGGTGGCCACTCTGGCCAACACCAGGGAAACTCTACTGCCCCCCTCCCGGCCCCGGACGTCTTAAAGGGGCACGGGCTGGCTACGGTGCCCGTGCCAGGTGCAAGCCTGCCAGCACCCAGCCAGCAGACCCTGCACCTGGCACGGCACAGAGCTACCCACCCGATGTCCCCCAGCCCACCCCCTCTTCCTGGGACCAGGCTGGCGGCTCCCGGGAGCTTGCCCTGGACCGCAAGAGGCGGGCACCTTCCTGGGCTAGTGCGGACATCGTGGACCTCGTCCACGATCTCCGCACTAGGCACAGAAGCCTGCCAGCACCCAGCCAGCAGACCCTGCACCTGGCACGGCACAGAGCTACCCACCCGATGTCCCCCAGCCCACCCCCTCTTCCTGGGACCAGGCTGGCGGCTCCCGGGAGCTTGCCCTGGACCGCAAGAGGCGGGCACCTTCCTGGGCTAGTGCGGACATCGTGGACCTCGTCCACGATCTCCGCACTAGGCACAGGAAAGTGTCCGTCTAGGGCAGGAGAGCTGCCAGCCTGGCCACCCAGGACCAGGTGTGCATGAAAATCAAGGGGGTCCACTGAGACCCCCGACACTGAGCCCTGAGCTTACAATGGCCGTCCTGGGTCAGACCAAAGGTCCATCTAGCCCAGTAGCCTGTCTGCCGACAGCGGCCAACCCTAGGGACCCTGGAGGGGATGGACCGAAGACAGTGACCAAGCCATTTGTCTCGTG